CAGCAATTACGGCAAAAAATACGGCATGTGCCGTAACCGTATTAATTTGTAAAATTAATTCTACCACCAACTATAGTCCAAAGATGTTTAAATTTAAAAATAAAGGGATTTTTGCATAAGGTGGTATTGTACGAATCGTGACTCCGTGACTGGAATCAAAGATTTTTTACCATTTGATTCCTCTCATCGAGAGGAATCGAGTGGTATAAAATTGTTGGATTCTGGTCACAGAGTCACGAGATATTAATGATTCGTCACAATATCTTTTACTATAGTTTCCATATATTTAATAGCTTAAACATTGGCGATTCTTATATTAATCGATTCCTCTTGATGGGAAGAATCGATTGGTATAAAAATCACCCGATTTGGATCACTGAAACAAAAGTTATTATTTGTCAATAAATATATAAAATGTAGTAACTTATCTATCTTGTGACCTCGCAGTCCGAATTGTTTGAAATTTACACCATTTGATTCCTCTTGATAAAAGGAACCGAATGGTATAAATTTCATTTGATTCTGATCACGGGATCATGAGATATACAATACCAAATCCCTATTCCCTTATGTAAACACTATGAGTTGCTTTTAAAGGACTACATGCATATACGAATTCAATAACGATAACGATAATGCTACAGTGAACAGCTTAATACTTTTAGTGACATATTGTTACACGAGCTACAATGTAACACGTGAACTGGCGTTTTAAAGATTGTAACACTCTGTTACGCAAACTGATTCTCGAATTCTCTTGTTAATGATCTGATTGGCTAAAAAATGGATCTTGTTGACAACCATCTTTTTTTCAATGAGACAAATAAATAACATAATACAAAATTTCCGATATTCAGCTAATATGCTACCATAGAACCGCCAAATAACTGTAGCATATTAATACCTACAGTAGTATATCGGTAATGGTAAGATATATGCATGGATGCATATAGCAGTAAAGTATCATTAACATATCAGCAGTCCCGATATTTTACTCTTAAATATATGAGTAAGTTATTGTGATTGCTGATATATTACTGATACTTTACCGCTATATGTACCGTGCCTATATGCTTGCCATTAGTATCGAAATACTACTAATGTGCTACAGCTATTTGGCGGTTCTATAGGGTGCATATTGGGAATTTTGTATCCTTTGTTTACCTGTTATTTATTTATTAGATCTGTGTTACTCTGGTTGACTAATATTTAAAATCCGCATTTTGCACAAAGAAGTTCCAGAAAACTCGTTATAAGGATCACTTCAATTAATTCCAATTAATCGAAATGATTGAGCAGTATCTCAATCACTAGCAAATCACATCGAGAGAGCTGCTTGAGAACAACCTAAGACAGAAGAGTCCTCGCTCCGTTTCGGACAATTAGCAAATACATTCCGATTCTAAATTAGGCAGTTAATTAAACTTTTAACTTATCTGATTTCATGTGTTTGTTCACACAGCTTTAGATCACCTATGTTCTCGATTAGGTTCAATGGCTGCACTCTGGCCTAACCGGGATATCCCTGCGTAACTTTTATTAAACTATAAATAACGAAATAAATAAGTACGAACGTAATGACTATCGTCATAGTACTGTAGTACACACAAAATTTATTTGTTACATAAACTTTTTAATAATGAATGCACTCAAAAATGTTACAAATCGAAATGAATCTAATTATACCTAATTACAGTGACGTTAACATTCTTTATTATCCGTATCTAGTAATAATACTGCGCAGTTTTTTTGTGCATCAACCTTCCGAATCTCAACAATCATCGGATTATGTATCAATTCAAAATACTAATGGCCCTGTCGATGACCGGTTCAGAAATCATAATTATAATCCGGCAAGCTTATTAGCTCTAATGTTTAATAATAAATGGGATAATTAAAGTAATATTTGTGTATGTAAAAGTTATGGCATAAATAAAATTTATAATAAAGTATAAGAGTTACGATACATTAAGTTAAGTTACAACACAAAAAATAGAAAAAATAGTTACGACATAACAGATAATATAAACAATACGGCATATACACATGTTACGATATACCATAACTTAAATCAAAAGTTACAACACTTAGTTATAATAAGGCATGCCCCAATCCTTTGAGTTCTACTTCATTTCTAATATTGACTTCCAAATAAGAATTCCTAAAGCTTTGTCTAGTTCTTTGTAGTTTATTTCGGGAATTTCAAATTTGGTTTTACCGGTCAAAAAATCCAAGTACCGTATAGGTCCGAAAATAAGCAACCCTCTAAGCCACCCACTTTAGCCAAATTCTTTAAAGGGTTGCTTAAATTCAGTAACTTTGAAATACTTAATTCTATCTATTTATAAGAGATGCTTATTTTATTTTTAGTATTTTAACATTTAAAACTAAGGTATTGCTTATTTTCGGGGGTTGTTCACTTTCGGATTTATACGGTAGATGATGAATGCTTGGGTAATACAAACCAAAAAAGGAAATCTAATTTTGTAAATAAACCAAGTGCGCAAAAGATAGAAGTTCAGGGTCGGGTGTTAGCATTAGAGGCTATAACGATAGATTGTTGCTTATTATACGTAAAATTTCGCTCCTATTATTTTTAATTAGCGCACAGAGATCGGGTTAAACATTAGTTTTTGAGTATTTGCGATTTTTTCTTCTTTCGTACGTGTTCGGAATTCATCTGGAATGAAATCGCTGATTGGCTGTTTCCTTTTTAGCAGTTTGTATTACCGGCACAAATAAGTAAAGCTTCCGAGAAGCCCTTTCTGTATAGAAGCCCTTAAGAACAACACGATCAAAAGGGATAGATAATAGGAACATTAAGGAGAGTTCAGATAATATTGACGTTATATATAATATAGACATAACGACAATGTGAAGCCTTGAGTTATAATTCCCTTTCAATAAGCTTTAGAATATAGATAAGACGAAGTTCATTAAAATTTAACAAAAAATTTCATACTTTTCAGGCAATAGTAACGATAAATAAACAACGCCGAGATAGCACAAAAATTAAGGTTTTTCTTTTATATTTTCTATATTATAATTTTGGAAATTTCAATACATTCATACGTACATACGTGCATACGTATCTGATTTCTATATCATCTTAAAAAAAACAAGAATCAAATTCTCTTTTTAAAAAAATATTCAAATCCTGTCCTCTCTTTTAAAAAATAATGTCACAAAATAAAAACATCCTAAAGGTTCAAAAAGGGATTCCCGATAATTTTAATAGACCTATACCGACAAAAAATTCACTTCTATTAGACAATAATAACGAGAAAATTGTACTTGACTGGTTTAAAAATGACTTGAAAAAATTGGGTCTCAGTATAGAAAGGCTTAAAAATGAAAAAGAAATAGTTATAAATAAAAAAAATAAGAAAAATGTGTGTGTTGATCTTTGTTTTGTTTTAGATTGTACTGGTATGTAACTTTTTTAATAATTGCATTATTACTACTTTAAATCCAATTATTGATCTCTGTTATCCTTTATATATATTTTTTCATTTAGGGTCTATGGATGATTACATCGCCGCTGCAAAGGATTGCATTTTACAAGTGGCAGAAAAAGTTAATGAACTTCCGCGCGTTAGACTTAAATTTGGTTTTTGTGGCTATCGCGATCACGATGATGAATCTACCCGTCTAGAAATTTTTGATTTCACCGACTCTTGTGAAAAATTTAGAAAAAATATATCTACCGTAAAATCTTTTGGTGGTGGAGATTCTCCTGAGGATGTCCTAGGAGGGCTTTATGCCGCTATGACTCGATTGACTTGGAGAAGTGATGCTCGAATTATTTTCCATATTGGTGATGCTCCACCTCATGGTAAAAAGTTTCATTCCGACGCAGATGACTATCCAAACGGTTGCCCATGTAAATTAACTGATAAGGGTGTATTGCGAAGAATGCAATCAAAGAAAATTAGATATGTTTTCGGAAAGATTGATAGTTGTACTGATACAATGATTAAGATTTTCCGTAGTATAATTGGTGAATTTTTAATATATGAACTTTACGGAGGTGATCCAGTTGAACTTGTTAATAAATTTTCAGATTCCATTTTTTTATCTATCACCAGTACACTTGAAGACAAAAAAAAGGTTTCACAACAAAAACGTGACATATATCCTAATAGGCCCGATTGGAAATATATTAAAGATTTTCAAGATTTTAGACAATGTGTAACTTTATGTTACATTATTCCCGAAAATGCAGAGCAAGTTAAAGATGTAGAATTTTTTAGTAAAGAAAATCTGGTCCCTAAAAGTCTTAAATTCAAGATTGCACCTCTGCCTTTTGCTACTGGAACTGAAAAATATGCTTATTTTGCTACTAGTAATTTACACGCAGATATAGTGATTAAAGAATATAAATCAGGAAGTTCGTTTCAAAAATATCTTGATTCCGTGGAGATTTCGGCTATAACAAGTTATCTTAGTATAAAATTCAATTCAATTGCAGAAAAGAATAATATTAATATTCCCGCTGTAAACTTTCTTAGTGTAAATATTCTATGCACTACAGTTGATAATAAGACTAAATACTATATTGTAGAACAAGAATTTGTTAATGCACAGTTTATACGGTTCAATTCAAATGGTGGATTTATTCAAAATTATCGTCCAACCCTTGAGGCATTCGTTCATTTTACCTATGAACATACAGAAAAATATTTAATTGTTACTGATCTTCAAGGAATTGAATTACAAGATAAATTCATCTTAACTGATCCGGCAATTCATTGCGTTGATCGTTCAAGATTCGGGAAAACAAACCTCGGTATAAAAGGGATTGATAAATGTTTATTAACTAGTCATAAGTGTAATGATATTTGTAAGAAGTTAGAATTGACTTCTTTTGGTGATTCAAACTTAAATGACAAACAATAACGTATTATAAACAATACTATAATGTAGAATAATATAATAAAATAATAAGGTTCAGGGATATGTGAGCGCCGTCAAGGAAAAACCTATCATCGGGTTTTCAATTATACTTTGTACCGGACATGTTCCCTAATAAATTAAATAGATTGTGTCCGATACGAATTATAATTGAAAGCCTGATGACGAGTTTCCCTTGGTGGCATTCATATATTGAGTGAAGATGTTTGATTTGTTATTTACTGTATATAATTTATAAAGCACTTGGATATATATAACAAAATTTGTTAAGATAATTTGTTAAGACAGATTTTATTATTATTAGTTAGTTATTATATAGTTATCATTAGTTATTGTACAGAAATTTTTGATTTTGCTAAATTTGTTTACTATATAATTATTATATAATAAAAATATAATTAAAATATTTTTTATTCTGTTAAATTACTATTAATTAGCTTGTTATCATCTTATTAAATATATAAACTTTACTAAGATATTGGTAATATTATTTAATTATTTTTAAAAGAATAAAAAAAATTTTTATAAATATGATAATAATATTTTAACATATGTTTAACTTATATTTATCATAATAACAGTTTATGTAAAGTTACATAATATCGCTGTTTTTCAAAATTATGAAATTTGTGAATCCTATGAATCTTGCATATCATTATTCTGAATTCGTTGAGTCTTGGTAGCAATCTCGGTCTTGAGGGCAAAGGCAATTTGTACAAACAATACACTAAAATATTTGTGCATTATCATGGCTCCGAAGAAAATAAAGTGTTAGCAAAAGTCCCTTGCAAAAATATCATTATTACTTCATTAAATCTTGAAAAAATGCACTTGGTTCTAAAGGAGGCGAAGCATTAGGATGGTATTTCATATAAAGTTTGAACTGACTTCTTTAAAATCTTTCTAATAATCAACTTGGTTCTGAAGGAGGAAAAGCATTGGCAAAAGTCCTTTGCTAAAACACCACAATAACTTTGTTAAATCTTGGTTGGAATAAGCTTGGTTATGAAGGAAGCAAAGAATTAACATGTATAAATACTATTTGACCTTTAATATGATGAACTTGGATCTAAAGTGGGAAAGCGCTACCAGAGACTCTATGCAAGATTATTGCTCTTTGTATAATACCATTCTGATTTTTTTGGACCTTTCATATAATCATAATTCTGAGAATGGGAAATATTAGTGGAGGCTCTTTGTATAAATACTACACTGACTTCTTTAAATTTTTACCATAATGGAAAACTATAGCAGGGGCTTTATGCAAAAATATTACTATTTCTTTAATCTTGCCATAATCAACTTGGTTCTGAAGCAAGAAACAAGGAAAGCATAAGCAAATGCCCTTTGTATAATAATACCACTTTGATTTTTTGGATCTTTCACACAGTATAATCAATTCGAATCTAAGGGTAGGAAAGCATTACTTTGTATAAACACTACTCTAACCTCTTTAAATCTTTACCATAACGAACTTAATTCTGAGGGTGGGAAAGCGTTAGCCGAGCTCTATGCAAGAATATCACCCTGAATAAATACTACTTTTAAATTCTTTTGATCTTTCCTATAATCGATTTGTTCTGAGAGTGAAAAAGCATTAGTGGAGTCTTCATATAAATATTAGACTGACTTCTGTGAGTCTTTTCTCTAATGAAATTGGTTCTTAAGGAGCGAATAACGGAGGCATTTCGTAAACATTGTCATGACTTCATTTGTATCTTAAAAGTTCTTAGTTCGTCCCCACGATTTATTAATGGGCAGCGCTTGGACTCCCGTATTATCGTCTCCAGTGCTGCTCACCTCATAGACAATCAT